AACTAAACCAACACCCAAGTATCAAAATATGCACCTAAACAACAAGATCCAACAACACCTGAACCTTTTTTCGATGGAACTCAACAACACTTGGCAGGATAACAAAAATCATACACAAAAAACACAAAAAATAGGGCAACTTTCAACAACACTTGGCAATATTTCATAAACCAACAAACTAACATTGCATAAACTGGCATTGAACAAAAATGAGAAGAGAACAAACCTTGAAGCGTGCACAAAAAAGTATAGAAGAACGTTGCCAAACTAAAAAACCTCACTAAACTAAAGAACTTGGAAAACGAAACAAACCAACATTGCATAAACCAACAAACTAGTATTGCATAAACCAATAAACCAACATTGCATTGAAAAAACTGGACAAGCAAGAGACCAGATGAGACAAACCTGGAAGACAAAGTGTTGTAGTGATGGAGTGAGGTCGCGAAGGTTGCTAGAAATGTTCGTTGAACAATGTTAGAAGGCCCAAAGCCCAATAAAGGCAAATTAGGAGTCCAAAATGGGTCGTTCTTGAATCTGGAACGGGCCGTTCCAAACTCCTAAAAGGCCCTATAAACCCTAGGTCAGAACAGGCCATTCCCAATCCAGAATGACCTATTCCGACACAGGTTGTTATGAGTAAAATTCAAATCCAGAATGGGCTATTTTGATTTCAAAATGGGTTATTCTTGATTCAATTTTTACTCTTAATAGACTAATCTAGAACAGGTCATTCCAAAATTGGAACGAGCCATTCCAGTTAGATTTGATGTCTAAAATAGCAGAGTCAGGCACTACTCTCGAGACCGAAAAATTTACGTTAGAAAGTTCCATAAAGCTCAAAATTCTCTCTTTACCTTTTTTATATTTCTGGAGAGATGTGAGGCACATTGTAGTGCGTAAGGTAGCCAAAAAGTGCCTAAAGATCTCCACATTTGAAGATTCAATAAAGCTCGACTAAGAGGTATTTCAGTCAATATTCTTCTCCTTCCCTTACTTCCTTTATTTTAATAAATGTTGCTCTAAATAAAAAATAATCATGTAGACGTCTTAGGGTAAGTCGTGTAATTTAAGTTTCAAGCATGTAAATAATCATCAATAAAAGGGGATCTAATATTTAAACTATTAATTCCTTTTGCGTTAGTATCACCATAGAGTACCGATTTAGGGCGTTGTGGGGGTATCTAATACCTTCTCTAGACGTAACCGACCCCCGAACCCAATTTTGGTTATTGAGGCCATTGTTGGATTTTCAAAAATCTTTTCTTTATCCAATATTTTGAGTAAAATATTGGTGGCGACTCCTTCAAACTTTTTTCAAAAACCGTTGGTTAGGGATTAGTCTGGTCTCTGGGCATTCCCTAACCGATGAGATTTTCAAAACAGAAGTCCAAACCATTGGTCGTAAGATCATAATTTTTTGGGTTATGACAGATGGCGACTCTACTAGCGAAGCTTAAAGAAGGCCAAGCCCAAATAAATGATAAATTAGAAAAATAAGAATAATAGTTCAAATATTTTTCCCCTTTCATCTTGTTTATAAATATTTATTTTTATCTTGTTTATCTTCATCTTTATCTTTTATCTTTTATCTTTATCTTCTATCTTTATTTTTTATCTTTACCTTTATCTTTATCTTTATCTTTCTCTCGTTTATCTTTTTCTTTATCTTTTATCTTCTTTATAAATATATGCTTATCTATTTTAGAGTGGCTTTCATATTTATTGTTTGTTTAAATTCTTGCACCTATTTGGAATAACATGTTGAGATTCATGGATGATGAATCAACCTCAGCTCTAAAGTTCTAAGAAGTTTGATGATAACAAAGGATACAAGCCAATAACAAAGGGCAAGCTAGTCAAGAAAGGAAGACATGGAAGAATACAATATGTAACAGGAATAGCTTATATGTTCTTGTATGTTGTGTTGCCTTGTTGAGTTTATTCTGCATGTGTATGCTTTGTGTATGAGTTAATCTTAATCTCAATTGACTAAGAGTGAGTATGATGATGATCTAAATAACTTGGAAAGTTTTCTAAAGTGTGAAATTGAGTTTTTCAAAACTAACTCAAAATAATCGATTATCATTAAAAATAATTTATTATTCCAGCAAGAGGTTCAGGGAACCTTGTAGATGGAACCAACTTCTCCATGAGGGCTAATGGTTGATTCCTTCTCTTCTTCAAGGTTGATATGATGTGAAGGATGATCTCTTCAAGGGTATGAAAGTGGCATATTTGGTGTTTGGGAAGGTGAAGGGTGACTGATTGAAGTCATATCCGGTCAAATAAAACAATTAAATGCAGTACTAGGAAGCTATCCTTGGTCGTCTCCCAAGGACCACCCCTTATCTATCAAAGGTTAAAACACAAAGTTGGGGGGTTTGATTCAGATTTATCAAGGTTTAAAACACAATAAAATGCAAGTAAAATAGTAAGTAAAGCAGGTTGACTCCTTGTTAAGATTGCAACTCTTTTATCCCTAGTTCACTACAGATTTCTCTGTTAACAACTTAATCCTTGTTCCATCCGAGTTAACCAACTAAGCGAAGATTAACTCAAGATTTCCGTACACGAATTAAGCAAACGTATACAACATTGAACCTCTCCCCAGGATTATTAAGCAAATTGTGGTCTTAAACGCAGCCAACCCAGATTAATTAAGCATGAACAGATGTTGAAAACATTTAATACAGAAATCTAATGAAGAAGAAGAAAGTGGAATAGAGATGCATATACGAATAAAACCTCAAATAGAGCTTTCAATCCGCTCAAGGAGCCAACCCCAAAGGTTTTAGCCTTCCATTAAAATGAAAATGCAATAGATAAAATGATGAACAATAGAAACATAAACAGCCAGTGAGAAGAAAAGAAAACTGAGAATATGTATTCACTTTAATATCAGAATGTGAGTCTCAAATACAAGCAAGGAAGCAAAACGTGAAAAGGAAGAAGAGCTGAACAGAAAAATGGGAAGAAAGAAGCAAAAATAGAGAAAAACCTACAGGAAGAAGAAGAGCTAAAACCTAAAACGTGGTCACATCAAGTCTGGCTGCATGGTCCCTACTCTAGGTCCCTAAAAACCCTAGAAAAGTCAAAATGGGCCCCTAATCCAAGTTTGACCCGAAAATACAATAAAATAAACAAAAAATAAAATAAATCAAAATGTTGATGTGGCGCTAATGTGGTGAAGTGGTGCTGACGTGGCATTTATCTCTTGAAGTCCAAAAATAATATCCAAGCCTAAAAATGCTTCACAATTAACCTGAAAATAACTAATTGACAAAAATTAGACCAAGTGAATTGGAATTAATTAAAATTTGAATTACTGGCCCAATGAAGCCCAAACAGTGAGACTGTGCAATTAATAAGTGATTAAGCCCAAATCAACAATTAAAATAAGTACCAAAAAGATAAATAAATAAATAAGGGAAAACAATGACTCATCAAATTCCCCCACACTTAGCCTTTTGCACTCCTGGGAAAAATCATGAAGCAGAGCAATGGATAAATCTAGAACAACAAGGAGAGCCACATGGAGAAAAATAAAAACAAAAAATAGTAGCACATAAACAGACAAAGTTACATACTCCTCAATGAATCCTGTGAAAAGAAAGGAATAGACAACATCCAACACACAAAGAGTCAAAGAAACCAGATACCTATGAACATCATCCAAGTATTTCAAAACATGGCAAGAAAATCAGTCAGTTCAAGAGGTGAATCAAAAGCAACAGAATCTCACAAGATATGCATTGTATCACTGTATCTCTCAAGTGTTTAGGCTACTGTATACTCTCAAAGAAATCATGAAAAAAAAAGCAACATATAGACTTGGAAAGCCTCTAAAATCAACACCCAACACACATGCATATAAGGATCAAAAGGTCTTTTCAGGGTTGTAATGAGGCCAAGGACAGGGTAGAGGATAATATATGGGTAAGTAGCTACAAACCAGAGGAACCAAAGGAGCAATGGGGAATAAGTCAAGAATAAGCATAAGAGCAAACCCAGAAACCTCTAATGACCTCTACAATAATTAATCCTTTTTCTCTTGCCTCAAACAACTTCTCTTTTTCATTTTTTTTTTAGTTTTGTTTTGGTTTTTTTTTTTGGTTTTTTTTTTGGTTTTTTTTTTGGTTTTTTTTTGGTTTTTTTGGTTTTTTTTATAATAAAAATACAGAGTGAATAGTACACACGGAAATTTGAGATAAGATAAGATAAAATGCAGAGAAGTAAAATGTACAGCATAAGGAATCAACTAGCCAATATACATCATCCAATGAAACATACACACACCCCCACACTTATTCAAGAACTTATTCGCGAAATAATTCTAAAGCTCCAAAACTCCCTAAGGTTAAGATAATCATGGTTTTTCACTTAAGGCTTGAAATGAGCTTCAAACAAAGAAGGGGAAATAGGCTCACAAGGGGTTATCAACGGAATTAATTCAAGGTAGGCTAATTTGGCTAGAGGCTTATCAGAATCAAAATGCCTTAATCCTTTCCAAACATGCATGTGAACCAAGAAATATCAAAAAGAGTCAAGCCAAGGATATTGGGCAAGCAATCAAGAGGCAGAACACACAAGAAAGAACAGAGAGCGGCTCAAAATCTCACACAGGTTAAATCTGTCACATTCAAATCGACCTCCTAAACCTCATAATCAACTTTCCAAGCAAAGAAAGACAGAGATTTCAATTCATAGAATATCAAGTAACTCATATCCAAGAGTGAAGTAAGTTCCTACAAACTATCAAAACCCAAAAATCAAAGAGAAACATGCAAAACTGTATATAAAACCTAAAGATAAAACCTAACCCAAAAATAAAAAATAAAACCTAAAAACATATAACCAATAGTTCCCCCCCCCCACACTTAAATCACACATTGTCCCAATGTGGCACATACATAAGATCAGAGGAATCAGAACAATCAACAGAATTGGACATGTGCAATAAAAGTAAAGAAGAGGAAAGGAAAAGAAAACTCCCTAAGTCATGGCGGGAGAGAAGTGGGGTCGAGCAGAGACATCTCCTCTACAACTGCATTCAACACGAAAGGATTGCTGAGGAAAGGCTTAAAATGATGCCCATTAAATTTGAAGCTCTTGTTTGTGGATTCACTTTTGATCTCGACTGTACCATAAGGAAAAACATTAGTAACAACAAAAGGTCCAATTCACTTAGAACATAACTTACCATCCATGAGACCGAGCCTTGAATCATACAGTAAAACTTTCTTCCCGACCGTGAAGTCCTTTCTAGCTATCAAACTATCATGGAACTTCTTGGTTTTCTCCTTGTAGAACTTAGAGTTCTCGTAGGCTTCCAGGCAGATCTCATCAAGCTCACTCAGTTGCAATCTTCTTTCCTCTTTAGCATGATCAATGGAGAAGTTGTAGGTCTTCATAGCCCAATAGGCTCGGTGCTCTATCTCCACAGGAAGATGACATGATTTGCCAAAGACAACCCAATAAGAATACATCCCTATGGGTGCTTTGTAAGCAGACTTATGTTCCCAAAGAGCATCCTCCAGCCTGCTACTCTAATCTTTCTTGTTTGGCTGCACAATCTTCTCTAAGATCCTCTTGATCTCCCTATTTGAAATCTCAACATGCCTGTTAGTTTGGGGGTGGTAGGGTGTAGAGATTCTATGAACAACCCCATACTTTCTGAGCAATTCCTGCATGGATCTATTACAAAAATGGGTGCCTTGATCACTAACAATAGCTCTGGGTACTCCAAACTTGCAAAATATGTTAGATTTGACAAAATCCACAACAACCCGAGCATCATTAGTTCTGGTGGCTTTGGCTTCCACCCATTTTGAAACATAATCAACAGCCAGGAGAATATGTGAAAAACCAAATGAAACAAGAAAAGAAGCCATGAAATCTATACCCCAGACATCAAAGACCTCACAGAACAACATGGGTTGTTGAGGCATCTGTTGTCTCCAAGAAAGGGATCCTCCTGCTCTCTGACACTACTCACAGGTGCTGTAAATCTTCCACGCATCCTTGAAGATGGTGGGCCAGTAGAAACCACATTCAAGCACCTTGCAAGTTGTCCTCTAAATGCCAAGATGACCACCAAGTGCAGAAGAATGACAAAAGTGCAAGATCGAATCAATCTCATGGTCTGGCAAGCATTTCCTGATTACCTAATCAATGCACAACTTCCACAAATAAGGGTCATCCCAAACATAATGTTTAGCACCGCTCTTAAGTTTATCAATTTGAGCTCTAGATTCCAAAGGAGGAAAAACAAAAGCAACTAAATAATTCACAATGTTTACAAACCAAGGGGTGAGGGAAGGAATAGAAACAGTTAACAAGTGTTCATCAGGAAAATCATCCTGAATGGGCAAAGTCTTCTCATCCTCAGCTTTCTCAATCCTGCTGAGATGGTATGCCACCAAGTTCTGTGCTCCACTCCTATCACGGATGTCCAAGTCAAACTCTTGAAGCCAGAGCATCCATCTGATCAGCCTAGGCTTTGAGTCAGCCTTCTTCAATAGGTACTTTAGAGCTGCATGATCTATAAAAACAACGACACAAGAACCAAGAAAATATGATCAAAATTTATCAAGTGCAAAAATAATAGCTAAAAGTTCCTTTTTCATGTTTGTGTAATTTGCTTAAGCAGCATCTAACATCCTGGAAGCGCAGTATATCACCTAGGCAATTTGTCAACCCTCTGAGCTAAGACAGCCTCCAGTGCATAATTTGAAGCATCGCACATCAGCTCAAAGGGAACTGTCTAGTTTGGTGCCTGAATGATAGGAGTGGTGGTCAAGGTTGTCTTGAGGTAGTCAAACGCCTCCTTACACCTGTCATCAAAATTGAAGTCTATATCCTTCTGCAGCAAGCAAGATAGTGGAAGGGCTTTCTTGCTGAAGTCGTTAATGAAGCGCCTGTAGAAACCTGCATGGCCAAGAAAAGATCGTACCTCTCGCACGCAAGAGGGGTAAGGCAATTGTGCAATAACAGATATCTTTGTAGGGTCTACCTCAATTCCCCTACTAGAAATGATATGCCCAAAGACTATACCCTGCTCAACCATGAAATGACATTTCTCAAAATTAAGAACAATGTTAGTCTTAATGCATCTATTCAAAACTTTATCCAAACATGCTTCAAAAGAGGATCCATAAACAGTAAAATCATCCATAAACACCTCTATGCAATTTTCAACAAAATCACTAAAAATACTAAGTATGCACTGTTGGAATGTGCCACAAGCATTGCATAGGCCAAAGGGCATCCTCCTATAGGCAAAAGTGCCAAAGGAGCAGGTGAATATGGTCTTTTCCTGATCCTCAAGAGCAATATGAATCTAAAAATAACTAGAGAAACCATCAAGAATACAGTAATCGGATTTACCTGCCAGACGCTCAAGCATATGATCAATAAAGGTCAAAGGAAAGTGATCCTTCCTTGTCGCTTGGTTGAGCCTCCGGTAGTCAATACAGACTCTTCAATTGTTTTGCACTCTAGTGGGTATGAGCTCATTGTTGAGATTGGGGGAGACTGAGATTGTTGAGATCACCTCTGAAGATTAAAGGTTTTGATGATAACAAATGTGTGGAACAAAGCTGACCAAGGACATCAACAACTTAGAAGTCAAAAACAAAGTCAAAGGAAAATGTTATGTAATAGGAGTAGTTTATAGATTGCTTTGTTTGAGCTTATTTGTTTTGTGTGTGTGCTTTGTGCTTTGGCTAATCTGTATCTAATCTGATTAGGGAATGTATGATGATGAGTTTAAAAGGTTAAGAAGCTATTTTGAGACTTAAAATAAAGTTTTGAAAACTAACTCAAAATAATCGATTATCATTAAATATAACCGATTATTCCAGCAACAGGCAAAAAGGATGCCTTGCTGCAATAATCGATTATTTTTTAAATAATCGATGATCCCAGAAATGACTCTCTGGAATAATCGATTATCCAGCAAAATAATCGATTAAATTGTTCTTGGTTGATTTCCAGAAATCATGAAGAACAAAATAATCGATTATTCTTTAAAATAATCGATTATCTGGTTCTGAAAAACTTATAAATAGTTTGACCATTTTGAAACTTAAGAACAGAGTTAGAATTGAGAATCAAAATTAGAAAAACGTGTTTGTGAAGTCTTTGTGACAATCTTGGAGAGTTTTCTTTGTGAATCCAAGAAGAAAAACGTTTTTGAAAAGCTTTGAGAAAAGATCATCATCATCACATTCTTGAAAGGAAAGAGATTAAGATTTGCTTCTGAATTCCAGGTGAATTCGTTCCTTAATTCTTTGTGAATACTTGTAAATCTTGAGTAGGTTTCTCAAGTGGTAAGGAATTCTTGTAGTGGGTTTCTACAAGGGGTGCTTTCTTGAGGTCAAGAAAGTGGTTATCTTGAATGTAGGAGTGTATGCATGTGTGGTATGCTTGTAAACCTTCTTCATTAAGATAGTGGAACAAATCTTGATCAGGTTATGATTGAGGACTGGATGTAGGTCACATGTGGAGTGGCTGAACCAGGATAAAAGACTTGTGCAATCTTCTCTTACCCTTATCTTTTACTTTGTGTAATATCTTGATTGTATATTGAAAAGATTGTTCTTGATTAACATGTTTGCATGAGCAACATTGGTTTGAACTAAGTCAAAGTATTACATATTGTTTTTAACTTTGAATCTCATTATTCGTTAATCAAGAAAGCATATAGGATTCATTCTTGATTAACAAGTCTTTAAGAAACTTCATTCAAAATTCATTTTTAGAAAAGTTTAAATTGAAATAAAGATCCTAAAAACTCTGAAAATTTTTAAAGTGTCATAGAATCCAATTCACCCCCCTCTTGGATTGAGCCATTCTTTTCTAACACTCATCCCTCTCATTCTTAACATCAGTGAGGCCTATCTTCTTGGGGACCACTTGGACTGGACTCACCCACTGATTATCAGAAATGGGATAGATGATCCCAGCTTGTAGAAGCTTGGTCACCTCCTTCTTTACGCTTCTAGAATCATCAGGTTAAGTCTCCTCTGTGGTTGTCTCACTAGTATAGCTTCATCCCCTAATAGAATCCTATGCATGCACGTGGATGGGCTAATACCAGGAATGTCTACCAGGGTCCAACCAATTTCCTTCTTGTGCTTCCAGAGCACATGCAACAACCTCTCCTCTTGATCAGCATCAAGGGAGGTGGATATGGTCACAGGAAATCTCTCATCGTCCTCCAAGTAAGCATACTTGAGGTTCTCTAGAAGAGGCTTCAACTTTGGTGTGGGTGCTCGCTGAACATCAGAAGGAACCAAAGAAGGGAGAAGAAGTGGTTTTGCAACCTGTACCTCAACCAGAAGGTCAGATTCTTTTGTACTTCCTACAACATGGTAGTGTATTCTAACTCTATAAAATCAAGACCAAGAGGTACAACACCCAAAGTATCAAATCCAGATGCATCATCACAATCAAAATCACTTCGAAATGCAGATTCAGATTCAATACATGAAAGACAACTATACAAATCAGATAAAAATGAATGTTTCTTATCATGAAAAGAATCAAAATCATGAATGTTCTCATCAACTAAATCATCAATCAATTCAGCACGAAAAACAGAATGAGAATGATCTTCAGAAAGAAATTTCATGGCATCTAGAATATTGAAATGAACAACAATATCACCAAATTCCATAGACAAGGTGCCATCATAAACATCAATCTTGGTCTGGGCTATTTTCAAAAATGGTTTACCCAAAATGATTGGGGCAGAACCATGGGAGAATCCCTCCTCCATATTAAGAACATAGTAATTAGCAGGAAAAATAAGTTCACCAACCTGAACCAAGACATCCTCTACAAACCTGTGGGGTGGGCAACACTCATATTGGCCAACTAAATGACCACACCCGTAGGCTATAGAGGTCTAAGAGATGAAGATTTAAAAATGGACACAGGCATGACATTAATTGAGGCTCCTAAATGAAGCATGGAATTTTCAAATTTTCTATTACCAATAATGCAAGGTATATAGAATGTACCAAGGTCCTTACATTTTTCAAGAATGTGTGGAACAGATTTACCTATGAGTGCTGAACCATTTCTACCCATGCTGATTCGCTCATTGCCCTTCAGCTTCCTCTTGGGGGTGCACAACTCCTTCAGGAACTTAGCATATCTGGGAATTTGCTTGATGGCATCCAGCAGAGGTATGTTCACCTCCACCTTCTTGAAGGTCTCCAATATCTCCTTATCCATATCTTCCATCTTTTTGCTTGGAATTGATTTTGGTGGAAATGGAAGGGGGATAGGAGGTTGTAAGTCGCCATTATGTGCACTGGAAGAAGGTCCACCTGTATGATGATGGAACCAACTTCTCCATGAGGGCTAATGGTTGATTCCTTCTCTTCTCCAAGGTTGAGATGACATGAAGGGTGATCTCTTCAAGGGTATGGAAGTGGTGGAGATGGTGTTTAGGTAGGTGAAGGTTGACGCACAAAATGGAGGAGAGGAAGGGAAAGTGTTTTGTGGTGTAGCTTCTTTAGGCTAGCTCACTTCACTTAGGATGATGAAGGCCAAACAAGGAAGACCCAAGCTCACTCAAGGAAGAGAGGAGAGGATAGGGGGACATGGAGTTCCTAGCGGACTAAGGAAGGAATAAAGAGGCACAAGGCTCACTCAATATCATTAATTTCCAAAGTGGCTACAAGGTGGGTGACCTAGAGTACTTATAGAGAGAGAAAAGGCATCTAGGGTTTCTTAGGAGCATTTGGCCAAACTTTTGAGGTCCAAATACACCCTAAATGTAGCCCAAATGAAATGGCTTTCATCTCTCCTAAAAGACTAAACTGCTCTTAGGTCTAGAAAAAGAAAGAAATGGACTTTGACCTTCTAAATTAAGGTTTAAGTCCTAAAATAAATCCTAAGACTAATTTTGCCCCATAATACAAAGGCTAAATAGAAATACAAAACAAAATCCTAATATCTAACGTACCCTAAAATACAAAGGAAAAATTGGAAAAGAAAGAAACAAACTAAGGAGAGGGCTCAAAATCTACACACATGATGATCATGGCTCTTGGTGTGGTGTGTTCTTCATCTTCCTCTACTCTCCTAGCCAAGGACCTTGTGATAGGCCCTATATGATGCTTCAAGGATGGTCCTCCATCATCCCCTCCTTCCTAAGAAGGTTTTGACCTCAAATCTGTTGGTCCCTACGGTTAGAATCTAGAAGGGGGGG